CACAAGTCAATCAAGTCTTTTGTGTGGAACATGCCTTAAAAACCGTACAGAATTTATTAAACCAGGCGTTTATTTATTTGAACAAACACATATCCTAATTTTGGAGCTTGTGGCAGGAGGTGTTAAAAAAGTTATTTTCACAAGATGTTACACAAAAACAACAGAAAAACGCGAAAATTCACAGTAGAAATATATGCAGAAATGCTACAATTATTTTCATGAACAACTTTCCAAAGCGTTGACAAATAAATCATGATGTCAAATTTGCGTATGCTTCAGAAAGTATATTTCATTTTTAATGGTACCTTAGAAAACGGAAACTTAACAGTTACTTCGACACAGGGAGGGAACAAGAGCCCTATTATGCAGACTTCTCATTGCATGAACATGTCGAGGAGATGGATGCTTCGTAGTGTCTATGTTAAAGTCACCGTTTAACATACCGTATAAACATCTTAGTCGCTCTCTACGACGCCTCAATAAAAAGATCAATTTGAGGAAGAAAGGGCAGAAAGGAAGACAATAAAGTTAACCTGGAGTATTTTGTCCCGGTTTGCTACGTTGTTTTGGGGGAGAGGGGTGAGAGGATTAAAAGAGGGAAGAAAGAGCAGAAAAATAAAAAAAATGTATATGTAAAGTGGGGCAACAGATTTTTTTGTACTGCTTATTTACGAAGCGCAATGCAAATATCTTCACCTTCTCTAACTTGTCATTGTGAGTGACTGTGTATGGATTCCAAACTTGGGAAGCATATTCTAAGACAGGTCGTACAGAGTTTTGTGTGCAGTGAGCTCTATATCAAAAGAACAGTGCTTCAAATTATGCTTCAGGGACCGAATTTTTTCCGTACGCTTTGTGGACAACATTGTCATGTTCCTCTGAAGGAACGATCGAGGGCAGGTCGAAAGACAAAGCGACACATAAGTAGACGAACGAAAGTTAGTTTACTCAAAAGCACGCGAAAACAGAACGAAAAAAAAAATTATAAGCAGAAACGAAATAAATAGCTACAGTCCCTACAGTCAGTCTCGGTCGTCTTTAAATGAGAGCTGAGAACACTCACAGTCTCGAGCCTCGATCTTTCTTGGGACGGAACCAGGCGTTGTTCTTCGGTGTCACAAGTGTGGGTCCAAGCTTGCTATTAGCTCTGGGCCGCCCAGAACCGGTTCGATAGTGTCGCTTGACCAACTAGGTACGCGGCCTGGGTTGACAGGAATGTTGCGAGGCCGCCCCTTCGTGTCCGTCTTTGAGCTCAAAATCCAAAACTCCGAGATTCTGGTGCGAGCAGCAAGCAAGACGTCGCTCCGGCTCAATGGTGGTGAAAAAACCTGGAGCGAAGCCAGGGTTCACCAGGTGCGAAGCCTGGGGGGCTATGTTGCACGTTTTGTACTCCCAGGAGACTAGGGAGAAGGAAGTGACGTAGGTGTGAATGAACGTATCTTAGCAGCACCACGCAACGCGTCACCAGCGACTCCACCAATCAACATCCAAAGAGCGTTTTTGACGTCACTTCCTTCTCCCTAGTCTCCTTGGAGTCCAAAACGTGCAACATAGCCCCCCTGGTCTGCCAGGAGCGTTGGCGGGTCAACTGCCGCCCTTCAGGTTCAGTCGTCGAAATTCATCTTCCCCCGCGAGCTTTTCCTTTGTCCTCGAGCTTTTTCCCCTTCATCATCTTGCGCTTTAACCGTCACTTTAGGAACGTGACAAACATATTCAACGTGTATATTCCATATTAAATCAAGCGAAAACAACATTCCTAGGTAGTAATTTGTACGGGGCAACACTCTGCAGGTAATTACTATTAAGGTAGTAAGAGGAACTAAGTGGCGAAACTTTTCTAGGGACGGCCATCTGTACACATGGTTTTCAATATTCAGTGGCAACTGCCATCTCGAGAACCCTTCTGACGGCCGTTCTGGACAGCGTTAAAGTAACCGTTGGTTGTTTACTGTTTTGACTTCTTGAGTCAAAATACAGTAATCAGAATAAAATTTTATGTTGGCACCAGCGAAACCTTCAACGTCATTAATAAAGATAAGAAATAGAAGGGGTCCCAAGACACAGCCCTGGGGGACTTCCGACAACACGTCAGCCTGCTCAGAACAGGCCCCTTCAAGAGAAACAAGAAATCGTCGAGCTGTTATGTAATCTTCAAGCCAGGAAGTCATATTTTAATTACTTAGGGTATCCGCAAGTTTTAACAGTAGTTTAAGGCGAAAAAATCGGTCCAACGTTTTCGGGTAATCGATGAATATAATACCAACTTGTCCTTGAAGGTCTATGACTTTAGCCATGCGTCGTTTCAACCAGCTACGTAGATGGTGCAAGGCCGCTCCGGATATATCATGTTGGCCATGGCAGAAGCAATTCTCGGTTTTAAAGTGGCACTGACACATCAAAATCGTTTTTTTTATTATCCGAAACGATTGAAAACGATGCCGGGACATTACCCTCAAAATTTGAAATTTGGGAATTCAGTATTTGTGAAGTAAAAAAACAATTTCCAAATGCCGAATTCGAAGTTCCCGTGCGATCGGTGCCGGTGCCTTGACGTCAAATATTGCGGAGTCCTGAGAGTCCACTTACTTTCACCACTCCCTGCTGTTGCCATGGCGACCCAAAGCGAGGAGGAAAGGAGCGAGCGCCGGCGTTGCGGCGGACCGGTTTTGAGCGGTGTCGCCTGTTTTCCGTTGGAGGATACAAATCCAGGAGACGGCACCACAACGAACTCCCGATTTTTGGTATTTCAAAAAGAAGGGCCGTAGTGCGTTCGCAATCGCGTTAAAAAACATCTTTTAGGATTGCCGTTATTAAATGTTATAAAGATGTCACCTACAAAGCTTCTAAATTTCATGATTCTTGACGTCACGAATCAAAAGAAGCGAGGAGGCGAGAGGCGGGAGAATCAAACGCCAAAAGTAAAAAGGCGCGCGCGCGCGCGGAAAGATTTTTTTTCGCGATGCGGTTTTTTTTTTTGCGTTTCTATGACTGCAACTTGCATCGTTTCAGACAATAAAAATAAATACGACCTTTGGGGTGTCAGTGCCCCCTTTTAGAAAAATAGATATATGCTTGAACACAATGGGTGTTCAGGAGTCGGGGCCCATGACAATGGCAACGATATAGGCCTGTAGGTGTGATAACGGATCTCTTGATACGTAAACAGAGATGACCTTTGCAGCTTTTCAGTGACCGGAAATAGGTGCATCTGACAAAATTCGCGTGAATCAAACAAAAGAAACCTTGAACACCATGCAGCATATCGTTTTAAAAATGCGTCAAGAATGTTATTAGCGCCCTGAGACTTTTTATTATCGAGGATAAGTAAAATATGTAAAATGCCGTCGTTGATTGCTTCAATGTCACGAATGCAGTAATCAGTAAATAGCGGAGCGGCCAGCCGAGCACCACTATGTTCGGTGAAAATGGAGTCAAAATAGGGACCATCACACGATGCCATTTACATATCATCAAAAATAATCTCGTTATATACATAAAGTTTAGTAATATGGGCACCTTTATGTGATAAGTGTCCCTAAATTGTTGACGGATCAAACTTAAAAACTTAGCAAAAGATGAAGCTATAGTATGCGAACTTAGCTTTACGTATCGGAGACCGTAGATCTGTCTTACGCTTTTCCAGAATGGGCTGAGTGTTTTTAGCGCTTGACTTCAGAGCTTATAAAATTTTTCGTTTTAGATAAATAACAGCGCGATTACTTTATGGGTTATGCTTTTTACAACGTTTGTTTACCATAGGTACAAAGTTGTGTAAGCATTCGTGTGTTGTTACCTCAAACATATTCCAGAATATATCAATGTCGGTACCAGGAAGAGAATTAATCTGTGTGAATTCATTGAAAAAAGTCTCTAGCATTTCTAAGACAGTCATCATTCGATCTAAGAAAATCTTGATATCGGATAGTACGCCTATCATTTAGTTTTTCCACCCAGTGGAAGGGAAAACGAATTTCCGTCAACCAGGGGTAAAAAACGAGGCAGCGGAGGCCCTTCACTTTTCATTCGTTGAAGTTCAGCAGGTGCTCCTTGACCTCCGGTGTGCGAAGAGTGGCTAACCAAACATGATTTATTTGGAGGGCTACAAAATAAATAATGTCCGCCAACACGCCGGTTCCCTTGAGCTACTTCCGGAAATCCTCGATGCCCATAAACTAGCCCCCTCAAGTCCCCGTGAAAAATAACAGAGTTCAAAAACGTCATTAAAGTCTCCAATGCTGGTAACAGTCTTGTATTCCTCGAAAAACACTACATTGGGTTGAGCAAAAAAATAACCACAGCCGGGCGGAGGCCATTTTTGCTCTTCATGGAGATCCCATGATTACACGACCATTCGCTTTCGCTGACGGAAGACTAATCCCGGAGTCACAAGGCAGCTCAAAGAATGTGTCGCGCCTTTCTCATGCGTGCGTTCTGATTTGCTAGCTTGGTTGCTTGGAGCTTTGGGTGGTTTCGTACGCGCTGCACGCATGACGCACTCTTCTGATCTCCGGTTCACCAGACTTATTGAGAAAGGTTCGATTTCTCCAGGAGTAGACTCTGTCACGAGCATGCTTTATTAATGAGAAATTTTGCATGGGTCCTGCTTCTTTGGCGTGCGTGTAGGGCCTTGGATCCTTGGTACTCTTGGATTTCTAAAAGCTGTTGCAACTGGAGTAATAATGAAATGAGGGGGTTATCGCGTCGCCTACTTTGTCAATTGAGTTGTGTATAAAATTTTTATGTCAAATGTTTGCTGCGCTACTCTACCCCATGTTTTCTCACGTGATGTCGTGAGTTCATGTGGTAAGCCACGACTTGTCGGGAATCAGCTGCGCGCGCCGACAGTAGCCTGCGGTCAAAGCAGTGATGAACTAAAGATCACGCCACATCTGCTAACATTGAAAATATATATTGTACACCGTGTTAAAGCTTAATATTGTTTTCTTTTTTTTTTTTCTTTCAAACATGATGTCAATAATATTGTTACACTTGGTCCACAGCCTCGCAATGGTAACGCTTGAATCCAGTGAAGGGTATTCCGAAAAAAATATGATTGTTTTTTCAGTCAATGGGGGTGAGTATAGTCTTTTTGTTGATAATAACCATAGACTAACTCCTTAACCACAATGTACTCGTTCAGTTTTCTACAACAAAAATGTTCTCTTTTCACGCACGCCTCTGTAATTTTACTATCAACGAGTGAGTTTAGCTTGAGCTACAATTGACTTTTTTGAATATTTGATTTTCAGAAAGTGAAACACTCCCGATATACCTTACCTATTTGGACGTCGAGAGCTGCGGAGTCCTAAGGATCGCCTACGTAAGCGGTACGACCGCCTTTTTTAATACTGAGTTGTAGCATTACGTATACCAGCACTGCGCGTTTACGTTAGCGTTGCGTGTTCTACACTGCGCGTGCGTGGGAGCCCCAACTGTGCTTTGGAATTAGCGCATGGCGACGACGCGATGCGCCTCGTGGAGCACTCAACGCTAAGGCAAGCAAACAGTGCTAGTGTTTGGCCCTGTGCATAATACTAAGGGTTCCTAATAGCGTAGAGAAAAGTGTGCTCTAACATATTTCGCAAAGTTCATTTCTATATGTACAAGTTCCGTCCGGAACGTATCCCGCCATTTTTTTTTTTTGTTATCTGGATAGCTCTGGGGACATCATGAATGTCGATTTTCAGCCATTCAGGCAGATCCATACGGCGAATGCGGGAACGATCACTTTTCTCTTCGTCTGCACAGTCGGCAGCGACAAGCCATACAATCAGGTGAAACGGTGTGCGTTCGTCAGATTTACAAGGACAGCGAGTTGATCAGTGACTATGCAGCAAGTTTTTCTTCAAATTTTAATATTTATCATCGGACACTTTTCAAGAGTGTAAGAAAGATTTCCGACATGATTCATTGAGAGATGCCCATATAGAATTCTGATACGGTTGAAGGATGCCGTAAAAGCAAAACGACCAAAGTTCTAGGTAGATGTTGACAGGCAGCTTCACCACGACAATGCACCTGCCACATTTCGTGCAGAAGTTTTTAGCAAAACAATGCGTCTCCGAGTTGGGCAAGCCCCTACAGTCCAGACATGAAGCCCTGCGACGTGTGGCGTTCTTTAAAGCTAAAATTATAGTTTAAAGACAAAACATCCAGAACCGTTGACGATACTCGGGGGAAAAGAACGAGACAGCTAATGGCCATCCCGAACCAGGACTTTGCAGGATGTTTTGAAAAAGCGGAAGGAACGCAGACATAAGTGTGTGAGCCCTCAAGGCGAGTAATTGGGAGAACATTAAGGCGCCACTCTACTAGGTTGCCTCAATTTTAGAGGATAGTAAATGGCGGGATACCTTCTTGACAGACATTGTAAATGTGAGTGCCGCCTGTGAGAATACTAGAGAGACATGTTAGCTGGTATCCCTACCAAAGAACCCCGAATAATTTTTCTCTATCTCGAATATAGAACTGCAAAATATATCTCCATTTAATCTGGGTTTCAGGTTTTCAGAAATTGTTCCTCTGTCAGCAATCTGGGTTTCGGGTTTAAACTTTTCAGAAGCAATTCCAGTTACATTTTCAGGGCCATAATGCAGAAAGTGAAAAGTTATACTGGGTTTTTCAGTAGGGATAGCATTATCATACGTACAGATTTACAAATATCGAAAGTCTAAAAAAGCATACTGATCCTTACAATATCTTGGAGACGGTATGCCAGTCAACCCTTTGTTCTTCCCATGTTTCAACAATATAGATGCGCTTAAGAACTGTTTCGCCAGTCTCTAGCAATTATTCGTTTCGTATTCATACACTCTCTCATAAAATGTTTTGTGTCTTTTTGAATTGAAGCTCGCCATCCTCCGTTGTCCGGCATATGTACTATTGATAGCTACAAGACTGACGAAAAGTCGCAGTTTTTGCTCTGCTCGCTTTTATTTATTTTCATATAGCACAGATCTTTGGGTCAATAATTTGTGTTTGCCTGGAAATTTAGGATATCAAAACGCCGCAAAAGGCAAGGTAGAGCCAAGCTTGACCTTCTTAGGCCGGAATCTTGGTGTCTTGGCCCTAATTCTCCAAACAAGCGCCAAAGCTGGCCTTCGCTGCTCGTAGCTTCGCTGGCATCGGGTAGCTTTGGGCCTTACAACCAGACGAGTGCCATAATTTGGTTTCACAGCTGGTTCTACGCTTCGCATGTGGCATCTTTGGCTCAAGTATGTAACTTTGGAAGGTATATGGTGAGCCAGAGGAAAGCCATAAAAACGCCAACGAAATGTACACTGGCACTAATTAAGGTCTTGGAGCAAACCGGTATTAAGGCCAAGTTACGTCCCCGGGATTGCCAAGTTTGTGCCAAGTTAAGGTTTTCGTATGGCGCGCTACCTGTGATTAGCAATAACCTAGCAAATAAAGCAATCGTTTGTTAACTTTTCTAGCATATAAAAGAGGCAACGGATGGGCAGAACAAAGGATACCACCCCTGAAAGCTGAAGACACGCAGAGGCTAGCTAATGTTAACGCTTCTTGCTTTGTGATTTCTTCTTGGGAGATTTATCGGCCAATTCGTGACTCCAGGAGGACTCACATATCCCTATTGTAGTAGGGTGGATGCTGGATCGAGGCTTGACTTGCTGGGGTCGAGCGGCATCACTCGCAGCCATTGCTTGACACCAGCTAATGCATAGGACTATGTGAGAAACGGAGAGAACCGTAGTTTCTTACCTTAGAATGTCTTTCCCGGCAATGAACATTTTATATGGTTGAAAAAAAACCGAGACTGCGGGTACACGACACAACACCCGCAGTCTCGGGTTTTTTTTCAATTTGTGCAACGTACACCAGCTCGTTTGCGCCCTTACTTTTTGAAACTTTTATCATGCTTTTCGGGAATGACCGTTAATATTTGAAGCGCAAATATCAAAAGCGTTAAAATATATATAGCTTTTTTTAATTGTCGTTTTGTGGTTAAGGGTCGCGGATTGCGACTTCGTTAAACGTAAACTCTGATACCGTTCAATGAGACAAGGCTTGCCAAGAGTCACTGTGGAGTCGTTCGTGACCTTGAAGTCATCAGAGCTTAGCAGACAATAAGTTAGAAGGCTTTTACTGGAGAAATTCACATTGTTTCAAGTATACCTACAAACTGCTTATGGTGCAAGCTTCAGTTTTGAACTGCCAGTGAGGGTTTCTCTCACGAACTAAAACTCGGAGCGTGTTTCTGATTTGTTGAACGTGTTATTTATTCAAAAAATGAAGCAAACGTCGACGGCAGAGTCGACGGTGCTTCAGTACAGTTTGATCTTTTTTTTTTTTTAATCGGAGTTCGAACGCTTTACCAACTCCGATTCGATCTTTAAACCCATGATATAATGATCGCAGCAAATTACAAATCATTCGCCTTCGAGCACCGCGTACAAGCTTCAAAATTCTTACTTTTGTGTGCTTCTCCCATAGCCTTGCGCGCATTGCCAGGTGTCAATCAATGGCCGCCGGTGGTCCCACCAACGGGCGTCCGATTCGCGATCCAGCCTTCTACAATAGATATCATTGGATAAACTAGACTCAATGAGAGTGTCGACATCAGTTTGTTTTGTTTATTAATTCAACTACTTTGTTCTGATCTATGGGGGAAAGCCTAAATGGTGTGATCACGTGAGCTAGAAAAAAAAAGATCTTGTACAGCTTATCTGCATAATAATTGACTTTCCCCTCCGCCGTATTCGCCAGTGTTAGAGGGATATTACGTGCATGAAAAGACACTGTATGACACACATCTTCATTCAATGCAGAAAGCGCATGCGGTGTCGTGGTTCCCGAGAGCCGGCTAGGACAAAGCACCCTCTCCTGCGATTTTGTTTATGACTTACTCTGTGGAACCACAAGATACCAGATATATGACGACAGTTGCAAGAACTGATCAAGAAACCATCGCCTGCATCGACGTTTTGTCAAACGTTCATCTCGCATGATATAGCATTTATCTTGCGTTAGCTGCTGATTTTGATAAAGGCGTTTGAAAAGCATTCCAACAAGGCTCTGAAACTTTTTCGTGGAGCCTATGCTGACGGGACACCTTTCCGATTGGTGTGCTTAGCGTCCTTTACTGCCCACACACACCAAAAGCGGCCCCGAACTCAAAGACAAAGGACGTCTAGGAATCTGTCGTGTTAAGTTGTGGGATGTCGCAATCCTGGTGGTTGGTGAAAGGGTTACCGACAAAAAAGAACATGGGAGCGGGAGTGTCGCTGTCGTTGCAACGACCCAGCAGCTGGAGGCTTCCGTGGATTGTGAAGCTGGAGAGAGATCTGCAGCAAAGCAGGCGACCGCATCGTCTACCATCGCTGCCGCGATGCTGAAAGGATCGTGACCGCCGACAACGTCACATTTTATTGACGTCGTCAAATGGAAATCAAAGTGCACTCGTGTCTTGTTAATATCGACGCCTCCATTGCCAAGAAAAATTGCCCGTAGTGCGAGTCATTCATAATAACAAATAAGCACGCGACAGCCCTAACCAAAAGTACGGGGACGAGGGCGTAGGTGACTTTTGCTTAAACTAAGCAGTTCGAGAAGAGGTAAAGGAGGTACTCTCCTTATTTATATTCGAACCTTCTTTTGTGTGTCCCAGAGGTCGCTTTGTTTCCCTCAAAGATTATAGACGCTTTCAGGCTCCTGTGCATGGGCGCCGCCATAACTGACCTTCAGTTTTTGTTTTCTTTTATTCTATTCGCTTCACTTCGTCATTTCCAGAGCAGGACAGGTTTTTGCCACTTTAGGTACTGTTGTGTCTTTTAGGTGCTACTAATCTGCTAGCCTGACTGCCTTCGCCGATTGCTGAGTTACGGTGCAACGGAGTATAAGAGAAATTAGCGTTTTGTGTCCAGAGCTTCTCTCCCTTTCCCCAAACAGCGACGAAGGTCCACAGTGAAGTGACCTAGCTGCTTTAGGGACCAATCTTGGTTTCCGGTTGTATGTCACACATGGTCTCAAGCAACGATAGACTGCAAGTGGCAAAAACCCATTCTAGGTAAAAAAAAAAAAAAGGAAAACTTTCTTGGTGAGTAGCTATTATCGCAAGACCGGCAACGAACGTCCGTGTGCACACTCTGACCTCTGGGTTCACTGATACCTAGGGAAAGTTGTCCGACCTTTTTCTTTTTCTAATCTCGGGTGCTGGCGTCCATGATAACGAGACCAAAATTCTGTTATTTAACTCATTCATCCCCTAAATAGGTGTTAATAACCCGGACTATGCCAATAATGATATCCATAATGCGGAGTGTCCACATTAGTGGCGTCCATATAAACGAGACATGGATGCAACACATTTTAGGACACGGGAAACACGCCAAATGGAGCCGGGTTCAAGGGGTTTTGGCTGTGACGTTGTTAAGAAATGTACAACCGACCGATCGATAGGTCCGCGCTTTATAGACCAGTTTCTTTGCAAAATCCACTAATCGGTGTTCCAATCTTCGACGCCCCAGAGAACTTCCGGCTCACAATACAAAGAATCAACAAAGCCTACCTTAACATTTCTTCTTGAAACGTCGATGAAACATTTACCCACCGATTGCACAGACGAACGCCAAAAAAAAAAAGCGGGAGATCTGCTCAATTTTTTTTTTTAATTCTAGTAAACCAACTTGTTTCCTCCAAGACGTTAAATCGTACAGCCGAAGGCCCTCGCTAAATCTCCAACTTTTTCGTTCGTGTAGCATTTATGATCTCTAGCACTTGTCCCGTACGAAAATGTCAAATACATGCCGGAATAAAAAATCCCGGTTCCACCTGGACCCAGAATTGGGGCACCAGTTTGTACCCAGTCTGGAACCGCGCAGTTCCGGACACCGCAGTTTCAAACGGGATACAAACTGCTGCCCCAATTTTAGATCTAGTCGGAACCGGCTGGTTCCAGTGGTTCTACAGAGCCACTGGTACCGCATGGTACCGGTGCCCCATTTTCAGACCCAGGGGGTGCGCCGCCGGAATTCCCGCTGCGCTCACCACTGGAGTCTATAAAAGTATTTCGTGCGATGCCCTTAGCCGTTACAAGCAAGATCGTCGCGATTTCAGACCCGGGCGGAAGATCCCGGGTCTAAAATCGAGACGATCTCTCGCTTTTAACGGCTAAGGACATCGCGCGAAATACTTCTGTAGAGTCCAGTGGTGAGCACAGCGGGAATTCCGGCGGCGCGCACACGGTCGTCCAGACGTCGTCACCAAACACGGTGCACAGAACACACAAACAGCGCGCTTAAGCACGGCATTCACTGTTAAGCGCATCGGGAAGTTAGGGTGGACAAGCGGTATCCAAATTGTTCAAGTATTGTCACCAAGCACACCAGCGCATCCAGATGCCGAGCCAAAGTGCAATGGGTCAGCAGCTTCATACTATATGAAGATTCAAAGCCGAGGTCAGTGGGTATCCATGTCGGGCAACGATGGGCGCGTTAGTACCCGTGCGCCGGCAACGCGAACGTCACCGTTGGGCGAGCGCCGGCCGACAGTTCGACGAGAGAGAAGACCCGAAACTCTCAGAGCGCTGCCGCCGACTGCGACAGACAAAACGAGGCGCGGAGAACGTTCGCTCGCAGTGCCTACGTACACTCTTTGTCTGGGGCCCACTATTGGGCCACCTATAACCGTGACAAGCGAGATCCAACTTGTCACGGCTCCATAGCTGTGACAAGTTGGATCTTGTGTCACGGCTGTATTGCCATGACATTATGTCACGACTTTGTAGCCGTCACAAGTTGGATCTCGTGTCATGGCTATATTGCCGTGACATTGTGTGACATAAAATGTCACCGCAATGCAGCCGTGACATTATATCTATTTTCTCGCGGCTTTATAGTTGTGACATGTCAAGTCAATACAGGCGGCCCATTTTTAGTCGGCCCGTTGAAGATAGCCGTCCAAATTGCTGTCCTTTTAGAGCCGGCTGTTTCTACACTTTGCAGCACCCACGCGTAAGGAAGAACAAGAACAACGACTCAGACAGTTACAAACCCATTTAAATTAAATCTAGTGTTCCACTTTACCTAGCCCATACTAATAAAAACAACACACTCAACCACTTATGTAAACTAAAATGAGTGTACAGGGTTTACACTTAAAACATAAACTTAGAAAACAAACGCTTTTTGACCTTAAATAACATGATTAAAAAAGAAACAATAACATAATTGTTGAAAGTAGATGTTTTTCAACAGGTTAGTCTGTCAACACGAAAAATATAATGTTGGCGTCTATTTCAGCCAGGGAAATGGTGCTTGATAAAAACCACAATCAAATACTCAGACCTCCAGAACTGTAAAAAAAACGGTAATCAGTTATTGAACGAATTGTATATATTTTCGTCACATAAAAGTTACATGCACAGAAATATTTAGCACTTCCTTCCCTGGTTCTAAGATTACCACACGGTCAGCCTGAGCCAGACTTGGACGTAGTTCATCTACTCTACTCAAGCTACTGTAGTTTAACTACTTTTCCGAGTAACTTGGTAACTTTCAATTACAACTTTATTTGGGTAATTACTAGTTTAATTTAACTCCGTTTTTCAGGTAACTTCTACTTAAACTATACTAACTACTTTCGAAATCGAGTGCTAACTTTGCTCATCACAAAAGTTAAGCGCAGAAATAAATAAGACGCCGGCAGATGAGGTGGTATTCTCGAACAAGGGGCCCCCTGACAGTCCGTTCCCACGCACTTATACTCGGCAGCCCTAGAAACCGCATCACAGGCGTCCTTGGGCCAAGGTCGCGACGGCAGACATGTACAAATTACTCAAAAAAGGTAGTTAAGTTACTGAGTATCGACGTTAAAAGTAATTGGAGTAGAGTAGAAATTACGCATTTGTAATAGTAATTGAGTAAACTACTAACTACTGTAAAAAGTAGCGAGTTACTTTGAAGTTACTTTCGAAGTTACTTTTTTATATTTTTGTGGTAGCGAAATGAACAGCAGTTTTGATCAATGAAAATCCCTGCGAGCCTAAAATAAATGCAGACTATTTATGGCTTGCGTTTTCGCCAAAATAGTTTATTCGCTCGCAGAAGCAATTGACTTTCAAAGTTCTTGATAGGAGAGTTTTCCCCTTTTCCTTCTAAGGACCTCCCCAGCCAAGCTAAATAGACGTTCCACCGACGGGCTGGATGGAACGGCATGTTGAATTTGAGAAACAGGCTGTCCAGGGTCGTGTAAGCGAGTGTCGGCATCTTAGGTGTCCATGACTAAACACGGGAGGGTTGCCTCGGGTAGATTGTCTTTTATAACAAACTTTCCTCCTTTTTTCTTTTTTCTTCGTCAAGTTGAGATTGTTATGACTGGTCCCTCTTTATTCCGACGTCGTTCTGAGAGTACACTGAGCGAGTGCACCAGACCGTCAAGGGTTCAAGTCTCGCGCCACGACGATGAGATCATCCGAACGACTGCGCCTCCCGTTGTAGTGCTAGTGCTACGCTACTGAAAAAAAAATTGTATTGGTTTAACAGAAGATGAAAAGAAGTATACTTCGCCGCTGACGCCGGGTCCAACAAAATGATCTCCTAGGGTAACTCGCAATCCTCGCCGGCGACTACAATATTCTGATGCGCCTGACACGCCTGACAAGTAAATCGTTTTTAACAAAAAAGTGGTCTCCCAGGCATGGATGGTCGGAAGGACGCGAAGGATTACATGAACAAGCATCGTCGTTCGTATACAGTTGCAGCTGTAAGCGGGAACGTGCTCTCATGAACGGATTATCCGTGCCAGGGTTTGTGCGCGGGGGAGTCCGGCTTTGCAAAGGCGTATGCGCTGACGACAAGGCGACCATAGGAACAGGCGCCCAGCTGCGAGGTCATTCCAGTGGCGCCTCCCGTGGAACCTACCGCTTGAGTCAGAACTCCACTAAAGACAGACAACACG